AGTGAGGTTAAGAGAAAGTTTGATAAATATATATATGATAAGGGCTGGCTTGAAGATCTTTTTTTTAAATTATTTATTAATAGTTTTAGTTTAGTTTAGAGGATGGGACAGCCAAGATGGACCAATAGCTTCCATGTTGTCCCAAAACATTATGTTATGTTAAGTCAAAACAAAAAGAGTCATAAATGCAAAGGGGACAAGGTATTTGGGTGTGAGAGAGAAGAACTATTAGAGAAAGGATACAGTAGGAAACTTAATTATAAGCAAGGAAGAAAGACAAAGTAAATCCTAAGAATTGGTATCATGGAGTAAAAAATGAGAAATATTAAAAGATGTAGGCAAAAAATAAGGAATGGAACATACATAAAATGAAATCCAGAAAGAGATTGGAAGGGTGAGGTCATTCCTCAAATGGTAAAGCACTACTCAAAGCAAAGCAATTCATAGTCCCATAGATCATTTCTGACTGAGGAAAAAGAATTTTGGTTAACTGGATGGGAGTAGAAGGCCCAGTGAGCATTTGGTAATCCACAACACATTGAACAACAATGGCTGCAACATCCGTGACAGTTAATGAACCTCCAGAAGCCATAGTAGGAATAACGCCTGTGTGTGTAAAATCATCACTCACAACAGGATTAATTATAACTTATCATCATTTGAAAATTCATGATAAAAAATAAAGCTCTTAAAACAAAAGCCAAAAGATAACCTTAACAAAGTGAACTCATATGAGATGTTTCAAACATATCTGTTCAATGCAATGCAGAAGAGAAGAATAAAGTGATCATGAGTGCAAGTGCATAGGTGGAGTTACTGTGCATGGAAGGTGTGCCACCCTACTATTGGTGGATTGATTTTGTCTCATGATGATGTCATCATGCAACAGCACAGTTCATGTTAAACTTTTGAATTTAGGATGGAGTTACCTGAAGGCTTGGCATGCAAATATCATAGGCAGACACTCTAAGAAAATAGCATTTCTGTGTGAAAAGGTGAGTTATTGCCTTGGAATTATATAGTTAAACACCAGCAACATTGTGTTGTGTTCTCAACAATACTGTACAAACTCTCAGATTGTGTTATAGGTTAATGTCAGCAATGTTGTGTTCAGTCCTTGGCAATACTGGACACATTCCTAGGATGTGTTACAGATAAACGTCTGCAATATTATGTTCTATCTTTGACAATAGTGGACACATTTCAATGTTGTATTATAGATGAAAGTCTGGTATGTGGTGGATTGTACTTATCCTCTGTTCAAAAGAGACCAGAGAACTAGTAAATAATAAAACACTGTTTAGTCACAAAATAACATCAAACAGATTTCTGATTTTAAAAACAACAACAACATTCAAATACACATCAGAATATACACTGTCTACAAAAAAGGCGACTTTCCTTAACAGAATGTTATTGTAGAATTTTGTCTGTTTCTTTTTTCTGCATTTACTAAAACTAGTATTATTATTAATAAAACTATTATTAAATTCCTTCAGTTTTATATACCATGAAATGAATGTTTACTATAAAGAAAAAAAAAATCAAAGCCATCCCTTATCATTCAAATATTTATCAAGCTTTCTCTTAAACTCCCTTAAAATATATTGTATCCACCACATTCAAAGGCAACTCATTCCAGAGACCAACCACCCTGTTAGAAAAATAAAGCTTTATTAGCTAAAGATGACTTCTTCGCTGCCATAATTTATGTTTATGTCCCTTAGTCTTTCCATTTTCACCATTAAGTATGACAAAAGATGGTGCATCAACTCTCTTAACAATCTTAAACATCTCAATCAGATCCCTTCTAACTCTTAATTTTTCAAAAGAGAACAATTTCCATCCCAAGTAACATCCTAGTAGTCCTCCTCTGAACTTTTTCCAACAATTTAATGTCCTTTCTGAGATAAAGAGCCTAAGAATGAACTCAATACTCCAAATGTGGCCTAACCTATACTATGACATTATAGTCTCTTTTAGACTTGTATTCAATATTTCTGTAGATACAACCTAAAGTTCTACTTGCCCCACCACTATGCTAATTATCCAACAAAATTTTAAATGACTTGCAGAGAGTTTTTATGAGACTTTCATATAAAATATCATAATATTCAAACAAAGTAATATTAACTCTAGTTTAACAGTAAATGTCTTGTTTGGATATTTTTTCTGCTTAAGATAAGTTCTGTTAAAAAAAAATCATTAACAGGTTGTCATGACTTATGTTTCATAATAACTAAGTAATCATAGCCACTGCAAGTTTTAATGTTAACATGACTCCATCAACACAATCATAAACAATGCCATTAAACAACATATACGATTCTTTAACTGGAAAAAACATGAATTAAAAAATGTATTTATATTACCCAAAACTTTTTGAAGAAATAAATGCTAATACACTACACAAATCAGTGTTGTTGTTTTTTATAAGGAAACTAGTATTTGACTAGAGAGACTAATCATGCAATTCTGTTGACTACAAAACATCATGAAACTCAGATTTTTGCAAGAGTTACATATTTCAGTGTTTCCATGAATACATTACTTGTATGATCTTGAACAAACTTTACTCAGAAATATAACTGTATGGGATACAATATTTAATATTATTGGTTTTATAAGAGAATCTAGCTTATGGATTTTAGAAAAACAAGGTTGAGAATAAGCAGCAATAATAATTCATGAAAGTGTGGTGAATGGAAAGCAGATGATTTCTTTGAACATGAAAATTTCATATTTTTCACTTCTTTTCAATTGCAAGGTATTTCATTCTTTGAAAAAAATTATAGTACAGTAAGTAACAAGAAAAAGTTTTAATGCATAAACACAAACTCCAAGACGTCATTTCTACCCTAAAAATACTAATAATTAATCACCTAACAAATAACATACTTACCCTTACAATTCTAATCAACTACAAAATAACAATTCTTACTGAGACAATACTAATTAACTACGAATAACACCACTTACACAGACAATACTAATTAACTATGAATAACACCACTTACACAGACAACACTAAATAACTATGAGTAACTACTTACACAAACAATACTAATTAACTATGAATAACTACTTACACAAACAGTACTAATTAACTACGAATAACACTACTTACACACAATACTAATTAACTACGAATAACACTACTTACACACAATACTAATTAACTACGAATAACACTACTTACACAAACAATACTAATTAACAATGAATAACACTATTTACACATATAATACTAATTAACTATGATTAACACTATTTACATAAACAATACTAATTAATTATGAGTAACACTACTTACACAGACAATACTAATTAACAATGAATAACACTACTCACACAGACAATACTAATTAACAATGAATAACTACTTACACAAACAATACTAATTAACTATGAATAACTACTTACACAAACAGTACTAGTGAATAACACTACTTACACAGACAATATTAGTTAACTATGAATAACACTATTTACACAAACAATACTAATTAACTATGAATAACACTACTTACCTTGACTGTACTAATTAACTATAACACTACTTACCCTGACAGTACTGACTAATGTGTGCTCCTTCTTTGTGTGTAGTTAGTCCTGGTGGGCAAGAAATACATGATGTCTGTTGAGGCAGAGGCTGGTAAGATCCTTGAGGGCAAGGGATGCATGGTTGATACCCAGTGTCAGAAAATGTTCCCACAGGACAAAGTGCTTTTGAGTGAAAAAATTGGCATCACTTTAAATATTTAATTGTTTTAACCTAATATCAAAATATTCTAAATGTTCTAAATATTTGTTTACAGGATGGAAAATTATTTTGTTTAGAATAATGTATCCTCAACTAATGAAAGTACGAATTTTGATATTTTCTGGAAACTGATATGTTACCTATGAAACATTATATTTTACAGTCACAAGATGTCAGATGAAACCAGAAATTAAACACAACTTATAAAAACTAAATCTTATTTAAGTTGACCTCTACAACTAAAATGCATTCAGTCACCATTCTAACTGTTATTAAAAGCTGGCACTGTTACAAAAATCAGTGATGAACTGCCCATTATCCAGTGCAAGTTGCTATATCTCATACCAGAAAGTAAAACAATAGTTTGAAGATACCAGTTAAACAGGTTGAATTTGACAATTAAAAATTCTGATACTAATATGTTTTTTGTTATTCAAATTATTAAGTAGCAGTTACAACAAATCTTATGTACTTTATTCAACAAAATGATTAATTAAATCTGTTTAGCCAACAGATAACACTCAAATATCATATACCATTTTGATAAAAACAAAAAACATAGGCTACAAATAGAAACTAAGTGACCCATGAAATACCATGATGTAGCCACACATTTATAGTTGAGAAATATGTAATAACAGAGATACCTTTCTTTTACAATAAACATATTAACGTTATGTGGCCATACCTTTATTGTTAGACACATTTATTAACAGGATGTAACCATATCTTTTTGTTAGAAAAATATATAATACCAGGATGTAGGGATAACTTTCTGTTACAGTATACATACTAAGAAGATGGATGTGGCCAAACCTTTTTGTGAGACAAATATATAATAATAGGATGTAGGGATACCTTTCTCTTACAGCATATGTACTAAGAGGATGTGGCTATAGCTTTTTTGTTAGAAAAATATATATAATACCAGGAAGTAGGGATACCTTCTGTTACAATATACAAACTAAGAGGATGTGGCCATACCTTTTTGTTAGAGAAATATATAATAACAGGATGTAGGAATATCTTTTTGTTACAGTATACAAACTAAGAATATGTGGCTATACCTTTTTGTTAGAGATATATATATAATAACAGGATGTAGGGTTACCATTCTGTTACAGTATACAAACTAATATGATGTGGCAATACCTTTTTGTTAGAAAAATATATAATAACAGGATGTAGGGTTACCATTCTGTTCCAGTATACATATTGACAGGACGTAGCCATACCGTTTTTGTTAGACATATATTAAAAAGATGCAATCATCCTTTGTTTAATGAAATGTTATAATTTTCCTATACTGAAAATGTATTTCCAATAGGTACTTACCTACTCTCACAAGGTTAGCTAATCTTATTTAGTGCTGCCCTCTACATGCAAACTTTTTCTTTACGCACACCACATGCCTTCTGCTCCCCCTTATTGGAATTGTAAGATTTCAACATGTCTCTCATGCTAATTATCATGCATCAATTTCTCACCAATAGGAGCAGAACATGCTCATGTGACGCTCTCTATACTCCTCTACTGAACTATCACTTCAAAATTTGGCAGATGTCAGCACTGTAGAAATGTGGGGAGGAAGGGCAGAAAGTGTGAGTGGAGGGAAGTACCTATCAGAAATACATTTTCTGTATTGGAAAATTATAACTTCAGATATGGTACTCACCTCCTATCACAAAATTAGCTAGAATCCCACATTGATAAGGACGGGGGACCAATGCGAGGGCACGACAGAAGTACCCCCCAAAAGCATCCGAAGGATACCCCTGGAAATAAGAGATTCTGATCAAAAGATCAGAAGAAGGGAACCGCACCCCTTCTGAGCCAGGTATACTCTTTGCACAACTGTGGAATATGTAAGATATAAGGCTGAAAAATGAGAGGAGCACATCCGAGTGGGAGAGAACGTGGGGGAAAGTGATCCTAACCATAGAGATATATACTGTAGCTCAATCCTACAATGATAAAGGTGGGTAAACAAAGGATACACCCCTAGGTGTAGAGTGGCTAGAGTGCGGCGGACCGTATTCAGTAAGTCAACTACATCTCAGACCTGCCCAAGGGTTACCAACATCCTCACGAGGGTAGGTTGAGGATTCTACTGTATTCACCTCAAATCCAAGAATCGGGAAATTGAGAGCCACTTCGACTCCTGGGTATGACACAAGGATTAGCTCTGAGCTATCGATCCAGGAACTTGACATCAGGTATCAAAAAGATGTCTACTACATACAGTCAACTTTCCAAACTGTGAAACAGACTGGGAACTTCCAAATGGCAATATCATCCCTGTAAGAAGAGAGGCCAAGGGATAGCCAAGGACGGAACAAGAACAATCCCACATACCACTGCTGTGACCCAAAACACAGATGGAGGAAATCGATGGAGTACCTACATCGATGTGAGGGTAAGATGAGGGCTCCCAATCGAAGGGGTGAACTGTATTCTAATGTCTCACTCCTATGTCAAAGGTTAATGCAAATAGGAGGATATCACATCATCTATACCTGCAGAACACCACCACCCTACTCTGTATCTGAATGTTTATTGTGTGGAACTCATTCAATAGGATGCCTCCATCATCAACCACCCCAGCAGCTTGGAACTGGAAAGTAGTAAGGACTCTCATACTCCATCAAAAAAAGGAGGGAAACAATGCAGTGGAGAGTCCAGAGGAATGTCATCACCTGAGACGTTGCATTGGGTGACCACAAAACCATATTTTGAAAAGTAGACCATACAGTTATTCACCTCTGGCATGGCAGCAATCCCCTTCTGTTTTACCCATGCAGTCCATGTGTGGTACAGTCTGAGATGGGCATGTTTATGAAGAAAAATATCATGAAGTCATACATCTACAAGCAATCTTGTGGAACACTCCATCTCAACGGTGAGCATGCAAAGCCACAGAAGATATAGTGGGAGTCCACATGTCGGGACACTGCAGATTTTGAGTTAAAGAATACCTGGTCAGGCACCACTATCACAGAGCAGGATCCATGGGATAAAGAAATAGAGAAATGCCCCTGAAAAGAAAGGGAAGAATGAATAAAAACTTAAAAGTTAGAGTCACACTTTTAAGTCTGAAGAATGGCCACAGGTGGCAGACAAAACTCCAATGAAGAGGAAATAGTGGGAGATGAACGTTCTAGATGTGTTCCACATGCTGGAATGCAGAATCTCCTCCACTGGACAATGAAGATGAGAAGCAAGGGAAAAAGTGAGGTGTCAAATCTGATGGGAGGACACCTGGAACAAATTCTGGGAGGAAGAAGATAGGGAAGAACAGACCAATCAAACCAAAAGATGGACCCAATAGGTAAGGGTGGAAGGTGAAAAATTATGAAGGGAGGAGGATTGCTAGGGGATGAAGAGTTGAGAATGTGTACCACGGAAGGAAGCAGTACAGGCAATATAACAACAAAGAGCCCTGACCAGGCACAGAAGCATATTTGAATCCGATCGAGGGTAAAGGAGAAAGGAAAAATCAGGATAAAGGAGAAGATAGGTAGGATGATAAAGGGTACGTGAAACGTCAATGCCATGCAAATCAGATCGTCGACATCCACAGGTTAAGAGAAGAAGGAAATATGTTTTAAGGGAAAGATGAAAGATGGAACACGAGGAAAGTGGTCCAAATGGAGGTAAAGTAAGGGAATGAAAGACCATATTAACATCTCAATCCGGAAGGGTAGGTCGCCTGGGAGGGTAATGTATATACAGAAGGAATGCATGAACATGGTAAGGACAGAGGAAGTAAAAACTCTATAGTATCGTGACAAATAAAACGTATGGGATAAAGCCACCTGATAATCTGAAAGACCAAAGAGCCAGGTGAGAAATTCCAACACACAAGCCACAGTAGGCTAGTCAGTGGGAAACCCCCTAGTTGTAGATCAACCACTAACCTTCCACTAACAAGGAAGCAACTCGATGTGTGAAATCAGATCTTCTCGCCAAGGACTAGAAAAAAGCCAGGCATGAAGATGCAGGACATGAAGAGTGTGATGTAGGACATGTGACTGAGGTTGATGAAGAAGGTAGGGAGAAAGTGGAAGAGGGACAGAAGGAGAGAGGAACAGTCGCTGTAACTGTAGAAATCAAGTCTGAGCTGGCCAATAATGAGCAATCAGGAGGACCCGAAAGGAGTGGACTGGATGAGAGAAATCACTGATGAAGTAATTTTATGGGTGGATACACATAAAGATACTTGTGTGACCAATCCTGGCTGAAGGCATTGACTACCAGAGCCTGTGGATGAAGAACAGGTGACCATAAGAGAGGTATCTTGTTGTTGATGGCTGTAGCAAAGGCATCCATGTGGGGAGAACCCCCCTGATGGCATGGATCCCTGAAAACGAGGGGATCTAATGATCACTTTGTTGGATATATCTGGTCAGGATGCAAAAGGTGATCCACAACTAGATTGAAAGCACCTGGTACATGACATGCAATAAGATGAATGTAATGTGCATGGGCCCAATATAAGGAATCCAACATCTGAAAACAGAGATCTCTGGACTGGGTGACCCCTTGATGGTTGAAATGTGCCACTACCATAGAATTGTCTGAATGAACATCACCAGACAATGTCAGGCAAGAGGAAGGAAGTGATGCAATGCCAAATGTATGGCTAGAAGTTCAAGAACATTGATATGCAAAGCACTTTCGTCTGCAGACCAATGGCCAGAAGCCTAGTAGTGATTGACCCATGCCCCCTATTTCTGAAGGGATGTGTCCATAAAAAGATGTAGATCAGGACACGGGGGAGAAAGTGGCATGTCTGCCAATGTATGGGCTTTGTCCAACAACCAAAGCATATCATCTCGTAGGGAAAAGGGAAGGGTAATGAGGGCAGAAAGAGGAACCCGAGCAAGGTTCCATCAACTGTAAAGTGCCCACTGAGGAGATCTCATATGGGCATGACCAAGAAAACCAGTGATGTTACTGATAACCATATTCCTAAAAGCAATAGAACCTCACAAGCAGTAAGTGGCAAACTAATAGTTCCATTGAACGAAGTTGTAAAGGAGAAGGCTGGCTCCGACTGATATGAGTGTTGAAAAAGACCCCCCAAATGGACAAGATATTGAATGGGTCTGAAGAAGGACTTCTCCAGTTTGATCAACCAGCCCACCCAAGCTACCACAGAAAGGAGCTGCCAAGTATGATTGGCCGATTCCTGTTTGGAATGAGCCAGAAGAAGCCAGTTGTCTATGTAATAATAAAATCGCAGCTCCAGAGCATGGAGATGTCAAGCAAAAGCTCAGACTACTTGGCAAAATACGTAAGGTACCGAGTCAGGTCCAAAGGGGAGGGCCATAAATTGATAAACCACCCCAAGAGGGACAAACCTAAGATGAGGATGAGACTGAGGTGATATTGATATATGTAGATAAGCATTGGAGACATCCATTTTGGTCATCCACAACATTGGAGAATAACGCCCACCTCAGGGTGTGAAAAGACTCCATGTTGAACTGTGGTAGTGAAATGAAGCAGTTGAGGCGAGATAAATTGATTACTGGCCACCAATCCTCGGTTTGCTTGGGGGCAACAAAAAGGTAGGAATGAAAACCCTGGGAAGGATGGGGAATAGGTTTGATGGCCTGCTGCAGGAGCAATTCCCAAACCACTTCTGACAGATGCTGGCTGGTCACAGGATCTGGAGGAGGAGGGAAGGAAATGGAGTAAGGAGATACATGAGGTGGGGAAAGAAACTGGACAATAAATTCTTCTGACAGAACCTGAAGCACTTATTGATCGCCAACTAAGGAACATCAGCGATGAAAAAACTCAAAAAGCCAAGCTCTCACTGGGTAACCACCAGTACTGGGGGGTGCTTCATCGAGGAAAGCGACAAGAAGTTCCCCGAGTAGAAGGGACAGCTAAGGGCTGGGAAGAGGAAGGATGGGAAATGGTAGTTGGAGGCATATGAGGCTCTGACTGAGACAAATGGGTTACGATATTCGTAAGGGTGGATTGTTGTTGGACCGATGTCACCTTAGGCTCTAGAGTTTCTAGGACCATATCAAAAACATAATGCCTCAGGATTGGGGCCAAATATATATCCAGAAGATATGTCAAGGGTAAACAGACACGAGCCAATATGGCATCGCGACCTATAAGGTCTCAACAACAAAGAAACAACATGTGATGTTAGAGCCAAAGATGACATTTTGGCTAAAGTGTAGGAGGGAAGCACAAGGGTGTTTTCTGGAGATACATGATTTCTGTGGAGAGCCTCAGATAGGAGATGTATGGAAAAAAAAGATACCGTAATACATTTGTAAGGGTAAGATGCAAGTGAGAATATTGGATATGGGTACGGCTGACAGATGATTCAGGAGCCACTCCCCATATAGGCAATAAAGAACCTAACAACTGCTGGTCTAAAAATGGATGGTCAGCATGATGGTAGGAAAGTGCAAACTGATCTGAAGTCCTCAGGGGTCATGGCATGCTAATCCTCTTGCTTAATTGTGAGGCAAAGTGATCAGCATGAACCCAAATATCAGGTGATGGAGGAAAAATAAAAAAGGTTGGGAAGATTTTTCCTGCAGTAAGGAAGGACGAGGTGCATAAAAAATAGGGGAAGGGATAAAACATCACAAACCTGAGACACAAAATCCATAAAGACCACATTAGTCCTAGTAGACTCATTGGGTTGGGAATGGGAAGGAATGGCAAAATCTGGAGGTGGAAAAAGATAATCAAAGTCCTCGTTAGCCTGCACAGGGACAAAGGTTGTCCCATGCAACATTTGATCTCCCAGCATATAAATCCACCATCGGGTTGCCCAAACCTGAGGCTTGAGAAAAAATGCTGGCCGCTGGTGTAACCACCGAAGTGGTAATGTTAACTTGGGAATTCATTGCACAGAAAGGTTTACCAAATTCGAGTGCAGAAAATAAGGTGACTAGAATTAACTGATAAATACTAATAAGAGAAACAGGTTCAATAAAAGCAAATTAATTTCAAAAACAACCACTTCATGAGGAAACAAAGTCGAATGTGAAGCATTAAACAAACAAAAGAGCATATCTGAACACAAGCACTGCCAAACAAGAACTGATAGTTCAGTAGATGGAGTGTAGAGGGAGTCACATGCATCACATGAGCATGTCATGCACCTATTGGTGTGGAGGTGATACATGACGATTTGCATGAGAGACATGTTGGAATCTTACAAATCCAACAGGGGGGGGGGAGTGGATGGCTTGTGGCATGCATAAAGGAAACATTCGCATACAGAGGGCAGTACTGAACAAAAATAACTAATCTTGTGAGAGAGGTAAATACCGTATTGGAAATATATACTAACCAGATGTAGCCTTAATTTCTTTCTCAAAATTACTATTTCTATTTACTTGTTCAAGGTATACACAGTAGGAAACATTCCAATATAAAAACTAGTACATTTCAAAGTGAAGTATCACTTATCAGTTTTGATATGTAACATACTTAATGAAATATTGGTAAATATATTTGAATAAAGTGGTTATTCTTATCTATATAACAGTCGGTACAAAATGAAGTGCCACTTATCAGTTCCAATGTGTGACAAGTTCAATGAAATATCTGTCAATGTATTTGAAGAAAGTCATTACTTTTACCTATATAATAATTGCTACAAAGTGAAGTTACACTCACCAGCACCTAGGTGTAACAGCCTCAATCAACTGTCTTTCCACTTTAATAAAGTGATTATTCTTATCTATATAATAATTTTTATAACAACAAATAATACTGTAACATACGTATACTTGGTTGAAGGTAAGTAGATGTAGACAATAAAAGTTACAAAAATAATACAGTATTCAAAAATAAGTATTTCTAGCAATAACTTAAATGTATGAATAAAGTCTAGATTTTTCAAATATTACTTAACAAAGAGCTGAGATTGGTACTTCTTGAAATTTAATAAAATGTTTATGTGGTAGTCACTTATTAGAAGATGTTGTTGAAATATTCATTACTCACTAGTGCAGTAATCCACTGATTTGGATCCAATTGTCCATGTGGCTGAACCCATGGGACAGGGCTTACAAGCTGTCTGTCCAGAATCATCTTGGTAAGTGTTGTTTGGACAAGCAATACATGTTTGTAGACCTGTCACTGAGTAAGTTCCAGGATGGCATGTGGCTAAAGATAAAAGAATTAATGAAACAGTGGATCTAAAAATATACACAATTTATTATATTAGTTAAAATAATAATAATGAAGGTGTCCCAGTAAAACTTGACATATCTCATTAAAGTATTTAAATTAGAAAAAAAAAATGTTATATCAACAAATAATTCAATATTTTTGCTTCATAAGTTCATAAATCGAAAAGTTACAGACTTATACACTGCAGACCCACAAAATCAAATCAAACATATATAAAATAATAAGCTAGTTCACTTGTGGGAATATACCAAAACTTAGTACAAATCTATAGCCTTGGTATATAAAAACTAACATGATAGAAAAATAACAACAGACTGCAACCTTGATTAATTTGTCCTACACCATAACCTCAATTTCATTCATTTTCTTCCACAAATTACCTCTACATTCTTTGACTAATATGGTTCCTCTCCTTTCTGTGGTAGTCCCATTTGGACAATCATTGCAACTGAGGGAAGACTCACTATCTTGAAATGATCCTAAAGGGCACCTAGTACAGCTCTTGTTGCTTGAGTTATAGTAAGTACCAACAGGACAGTTTACTGGAAAATAAAGCAAATCACATATAAGCCAAAACTCAAACTTACTGTTCTCTATGTGTATGTCTATTTTCTAACATTTAAGTTTTACATCTTTCATTCTTGGCTGTGCAGAAGAACTTAGTATAATGTTTTGATAATGGATTAACTATGTGACATCAATTATTATTACAAAGAGATCAGTGATTTTTTTACACTAATGCATTAAAATTATGATATTAATAATAATTATTATTATTATGAAGAACTTAGTGTTATTTTACACTAATAGGTGAAATATGTGATATTAATTATTATTAGGAAAAGCTTAGTGTTATTTTACACTAATAGATGAAATATGTAATATTAATTATTATTAAAAAGAGATTAGTATTATTTTACACTAACATATGAAATATGCAATATTAATTATCATTAAAAAGATCTTAGTATTATTTTAAAACTAGTTGATTAGATTTATGATATTAATCATTATTAAGTTTATTTTTAACCATAAACTTACATAAGTCTCTCTGTTTTTCTGCCCACTATGGTGTCAAAACCCGATTTTTAACGTTATAAGTCCTCAGACATACTGATGAACCACCAGAAGGCAATTATTATGAAGAAGAGCTTAGTATTATTTTTAAAATAGTGGATTAAATTTAATAAGTGATTAGACTAAAGTATTATTTCAAGCAGAAACTATCTTATCTAAACTACAATAACCATTTTACTAAAATAAATATAAAACTTTTCTATTCATATACTAAACTCAAATCAAACCAGTATTTTACTAAAAGAAGTATCAAGTTTTTATGTATTTTTATACTAAACTAAAACTCCAGCAATTATGTTATTTAAAGGAGATGTATGAAATATTAATATTTCTAATTGCCTGGTATTTCAGTTTTAATGACACAAATTATAAATACCTTTACAATCAGAAATTAATACAGGTGAGAATTACTTTTATCTGAAACATATAAAAACAGCATTTCATGAAAGAATTTGAAGAGAAAGAACCAGACAACCCCAAGTTTATACAAGCATGAAAAGTTCTAAGAAAAACATTTGATTTTTCTTTTAGCACACATGATAGTTTTACAATCTTTCAGAAAATTAGTAATTAATTTATTAATTATTATCAAAAAAGTTTTTTAACCCTTTTGTACTGTAATGAGTGTAATTTTTTTAACAAACAAGTATTATGGATAATAACTGTTTTTCTTTTAGTAAAAACAGAAGTATTTTAGAAATAAATGCAAACATATAAAATCAGACATCTCAGAACTATATTCCTGAAATTATAATTTTGAAATTTTATTAAAAGATAATGAAGCATTATAAAACTCCTGAAAAATTCTTTAAATGTATTATCATTTTAATCCATAATTTGATTTTTACAGAAGAATACAATGTTTGTTGATTAGAACAGTAGCTGCATGTTGAACACTGTTAGTATAAGGTCATCAAGAAATTAATGGAACACTTTCAATAACCACCCCCAAAAAATGTACATCACGTATAATAGTTAAATGAACCACCTAAATATCACGTTAATGTAGCCTATATAATGTGTAAAGTTTAGTATACTCTAATCCCTTATAGTGATGGCATACGATGAGACACACATTCTGCGTGTAATGCTGTTTGAATACAAGAAGGGAAACAATGCCTCTGTAGCCACAATGAATATCAAAGAAGTTTATGGAAATATTTTTAACATTTGTAAGTGTCAACGATGGTTCAGCAAATTTTGTTCAGGTGACTTTAGCCTTAAAAACTGTGATGGCAGGGGCCAAGACGTTGGAATTAATATTGATGCTCTGAAGATGCTTGTTGAATCTAACCCAAGGCAACACACTCGTGAAATGGCCCTGAAATTGCATGTCTCTCATGAAACAATCAGTAAACATCTAAGAAATATGGGAAAACTCCATAAAGAAGGTGATTGGGTGCCTCACGAACTCTCCAATGATCATCGTTTCCAATGTGTGAACATTGTTTCGTCTCTTCTGGTGCGTAATGCACGTGAACCATTTTTGGACAGAATTGTCACC